ATATATATATATATATATATATATATAATATTTTAAAATTAGCAAAGATTTTATTCAACATATATGTTTCAATAATATTATATATATAATATATTTTGAAATTAGCAAAGATTTTATTCAACATATATGTTTCAATAATATTTTGAAATTAGCAAAGATTTTAATGCCATCTTTACGTAGATTATAATTTATTTATTCATATATATATATAATGGATCAATTCTTATTGTCATAATTGACGTGATTTTGAGCGGGAAATTTTTTCATCTATATTTGGCATTTAATTAATATTTATTTATTACCAAATCTTAGGCATGAAAAACATAATTAATTTTTATACACTCAATGACTATTACTCATTAAATACATATTGGCTTAAACTGTTGTTGATGTCGAAAATCGGACAATAAACGGTTAAGTAATAGTCGAATTCTTTGCATGAAAAATGAAGAATTAGAATGATAAAAATGTATGTTTGCTCTTTTATTTTAGAGAGAGAGAGAGTTGGGAGGAGAAGAGGAAAAAAATGTAGAAGAATATGGGGAGAGAATATGTTTAGTAGAGATTTGGTGGGCAAAGGATAACCGAGTTACCCGACTCGGGTCGATCTCGAGGGAAGGCTATTCGGAGCTTTATCTACTAGTTGATCGTCCCAAAACACACAAAAAGAGAAAATAAAGTCCTAAACATTCTAAGCAATTGGATTGGAGGATGATTATCACTAAACGAGCACTAGAAAACGAGCAATTAACTAAGAGCAAGATCAAATCACGAGCAAGTAGCAAACTAGATCATCGGAGTCTCATGTCATAACCATAACGGGATGATAATCAATCGACATAAGGAATAAACGAGCTATGAGCATTAGATTGCTAACCCTAGTCGTCTAACCCTAAGTGATTAAGCCCTAACTGGGTCTTAATCCTTAAACGAGATCAACAAGTGATAAGTCAAAAAACGTGCTCGCTTTAATCGTTTAATTTTGTAATAGTGCACGTTTATTTACTCACATTTTATATGATTTTCGACTTATTTAATATTATGATCGATTGTGGTGCCATGATGAGTTTCTTAAGTGTTTTCAGAGTTTTGGGATTATTCTTAGCAAGTGACGACGTTGAATGCAAGACGTGAGCTCAAATAATTCTGACGTAGTATTGGGGTACCCAGTACTTCGTTCCAGCCCCCAGTAGTCCTGCTGCAATTAATTAATTTGGGGCTGAAGTTATTTAAGTGGAAGAATGGGCTAAGTGGACCTATATTTGGGCTGAGGACTTAAAGAAAGAGGGTCCATTTATTCCCCAAGAGGAAGTGACGTAAATAAAAAGAAAGAGAGGGATTAAGGGTCCATGAGATACACACGCGTGGCGGCAAAGGAATTAAAACTACAAGCATTAGGAAAGTGACGTGGCAGGGAGATATATATATATATATATATATATATATATATATATTTTGGAGACCAATTAGAGGGGATCATCTTTTTTTGGTACACATTGCGGCTGAACAGAGAACAGAGAACGGAGAGGAGCAGATCGCGAGGATAATAGCAACAGAGAAGAATTCCATCTTTCTTTTCTTTTCTTTCTTGTGTAATTAATTTGATGAACATTATTTTGAATATTATGAGTAGTGAGTAGTTCTTTTATTCTAGTTCCGGGGAAGTTGAACCCTAAGACTCGACGAATGTTTGATTAATTCTTTGGTTGATAATTTCAATATCTTTTGGAATTGTTTGTGTTATTTTGAATAATTAACCCTGATTTGTTGAGTCTTGTTTAGCTTGATCACCTAGACTAGGCTTTTCATATCTACTGCTAGATTCAAACTGTCAATCCGTAATTGTTGATATGTTTAATCAATTAGAGGCTACCGGAAGATGGTAACTACCGGGGATAACACAACCTAAGTAAGTGAATGAAAATTCCGCTACTTAGTCTAGCCTATTTTTCTAAATCGTAAAGCGGCTAATTGAATTAAATTTAGGAAGCGTTTCCTAGACTGTTCAAGAGGTCAGATTTAATCGTAGAGCGTCTCGCTGTTAGATTAAAAATAAGAAATAATTCGGGTAACAGCCCGTGGCGTTACCTAGGGCTAGTAATTCCATAGATAGCGAGATTTGATACCAGAATTAATTAGGCGAGTCGGTCGAGGGTGTAGACGGAACCGTGAACTAGAAGTTTTCCCATAATTTGATAATTATTCTCTTTTGATGCATTTGATTTCTATTTTGTTATTCTTATTTTCGTAGTTAATTGTCTCACATCAAAACCCCCTCTTTTATCGTTTTTATTAATTTCAATTAAAGAAAATAATTACAATTAAAATTCACACTCCCTTGGGTTCGTCCCTTACTCACTGCTACTACTAGTTGGTAAAGTCGAATAAGGAATTTATAAATATAATTTTGTCGCGTTGCGACGCGCGGTCAAATTTTGGCGTCGTTGCCGGGGAGTGGCGCAATTGAGTTGTGATTTTTTTCTCATTAATTTAAATTAGGATTATATTTTTTTTATTTTATTAGTTTCAGTTAAATAAAAAAAAATCACAAAACCCCCTGTTTCGTTTTTCTGTAATTTATTTGCTTTTAAATTCTGCACCTAGCACTACTGGATACCCCCGTACTGCTGTGTCGACCCCCAGTACTCTGTGTGCAGAATTGCTTCAGAACGCATTATTTTTGATATATTTGGCCACGTTCGATACTTATATCTCGGTTTTTCTTCCAGCTGAATGAACACAAGATCCTCTGGCAAAAACCCACTGACGTACGACCCGGAAATCACAAGAAAGGATAAGGAAAATCGGAGGCTAGCAAGGCTGGCGAAGGAAACACACGAAAACCGAGAACAGGACTATCCGGAGATTGCCGATTATCACAGTTCCTCCAGCAAGTCTGACAACGCTGTTCATTCTGATTCTTCAAGCGAGGAAGAAGAAATGGCAGGAGAGCAAGAACGTACGCTAAGGCAACTCGCCAATCCTCAACTCCTCTAACAGCCCCTATGCATAACATTTCCGAGGGTGAATGACGCCACGTTTGAGCTCAAGTACCTGGGCTCATACACTTATTGCCGGCGTACAATGGACTCGCAGGCGAGGACCCCCATATGCACTTGAAGGAGTTCAATACCATTTGTTCCGGAATAAAGCCCGCCGGGGTGACCGAGGAACAGATCAAACTCCGGGCCTTCCCGTTCTCATTAAAGGATAGAGCTAAAGACTGGCTATACTACCTACCGTTGGGGTCCATCACCACGTGGGCTGACATGGAGAATGCTTTTCTCCAACGATACTTTCCAGCATCCCGGGTGGCAAATTTACGTAAGGAGATATGTGGTGCATAACAATTGCATGGAGAAACGCTATACGAGTATTGGGAGAGATTTAAGCGGCTCATTGCATGTTGCCCTCAGCACCAGATGACAGAGCAGTTGTTAATCCAACATTTCTATGAGGGGTTGTCCCTAATGGATAGAAATATGCTCGATGCGGCGAGTGGAGGCACTCTCATGGACAAGACACCGACGGCCGCAAGGGACTTGATAGCAAACATGGCCGTGAATTCCCAACAATTCGGCACTCGAGAAGCGTCCTTCCAATCTGTTAATGAGACTAGTATTGGAGCTTTGGAATCTCAAGTCAAGGAGTTGACGACATTTGTCTGAAAATTAGCCACTGATGGCTTACCGAGAGCTCAGTCTTGCATGCGGTGCGAGACAACCGATCACATCACGGATAATTACCCAG